TGTATCCGTTTGATTTACCATTACATAGTAAAGACTTGTTTTCCCCACTGTCCCTCCCCCGTTCTCTTTGTTTTTTGAAAAACTTTGTAATCTCGGGAGTTCAACTTACAGCCCGAAAAACTCACAACCAGGGGCAGCTCAACCCATTACGCAAAGTAAGCATTTGCAGTATAGTTGATTTTGCCTAGGGGCACTCTTGAGGCACTCTTGGGGAAAAATAGATGAGTCCATCCTCCAGGAAATAAAGCCCGACTGCTCACTGTAGGGAAAGATACTAGAGACAAAGTTGAAGTACTTTGGCCACATCATGAGGAGACAGGAAAGCCTAGAGAAGACAATTATGCTGGGGAAAGTGGAAGGCAAAAGGATGAGGGGCCGACACTCAGACGGCTCAACCCATTACGCAAAGTAAGCATTTGCAGTATAGTTGATTTTGCCCAGGAGCGCTCTTGAGGCGCTCTTGGGGGAAAATAGACCTTGACATATGCGAGTTGTAGTTACTGGGATGTATAGTTCACCTACAATCAAAGAGCATTCTGAACTCCACCAATGATGGAATTGAACCAAATATGGCACACAGAACTCCCACGAACAGAAAATATATATCAGTGATTGTTTGGGGGGGGGGGTGCCAAAATACTGTTTGCTTACCATTGAAAATTACCTAGGGCCACCTCTGCTGATATTCACATATGTATGAGTTATTCTTATGTTGCAGAATTAAGAACAGGAGAGACAAGGGGAAGTAAGCTTTAGCTCTCTTATATCTCTCTCTCTCTGCTAGCCTTTTGATAGGCAAAACAAAAGCCTGACAGCACAGCAGGGGCATCAGAGAGGCAATTGAGAACGATGAAAGAGGGAGTTCTCTAAGGTTACAGAAAAACTAGAAGAAGCGCAGGATTTGCATGCTTGTTACTTTCTCCTGAGTGATTTGAATATCTTTGAATGTTTGCTATACCTCCTTAGTCCCAAAAAAGTAATTGCAGAAGAAAGGAATCAATGCTGCCCATCCCAGCTCCTCCCTTCATAGTGACATCATCATTACATTTATAAACAGGCTAGGGGGAATTCCCATCACATGTTAAATTACGAATCGACTCTCTACACAAGGAATTGAGGAACAAGTCAAGGGAGAGGGTCTTCTTGGTGGTGGCCCCTCGACTCTGGAACTCACTCCCCAAGGACATCAGGCATGCCCCAACTCTGGCAGTCTTTAGGAGGAGCTTGAAAACGTGGTTGTTCCAGTATGCCTTCCCAGAATAAGGAAACTCCCAGCAATGTCTTCTAAATGCACTTTATTATTGATCTAGGAGTGTCCGCATGCCCATCCCTCTCTGAAAACTCTATCCTAGTCATATTTCACCTGTTCATGCTCAGCATTATTTTTAAATTTTAATTATTACATTTGGCCCAGCCATAGGTTTTAAAACGTCGTTGTGTTACTGTTAATGTTTATTGCTTATGTTCTGTTATGAGTTTTATTTTTATTGTTTGTATTACTTGTTGTTATTGTTTCTATTACTGATGTATTGTGGGATCGGCCTCATGTAAGTCCCTTGGTGAGATGTGAGCGGGGTATAAATAAAGTTTTATATTGGGTTGTTGTAGGTTTTTCCAGGCTATATGGCCATGTTCTGGAGGCAATTTTTCTTCTGATGTTTCGCCTGCATCTATGGCAAGCATCCTCAGAGTTATTATTATTATTATTATTATTATTATTATTATTATTATAAGTCGCAGGTTCAAATTTAGGATTTGCCAGGAAAACCCACACTTTAGAGATGACCTCTACCACACATTTGAAGCTCGTGTGAAGGGCACCGTTGGTTGCAGTTTCTTAAGTGTGCAGAAATGCTGATTTTATTGCATGTGATGAAATCAGAAGACTCCTAGTTCCTTTTCATGGACTGTTTTTAAGCCAAATTTCATCCATCCTATAACTCTGCATTTCATAGAATCATAGAATCAAAGAGTTGGAAGAGACCTCGTGGGCCATCCAGTCCAACCCCATTCTGCCAAGAAGCAGGAATGTTGCATTCAAATCACCCCCGACAGATGGCCATCCAGCCTGTTTAAAAGCTTCCAAAGAAGGAGCCTCCACCACACTCCGGGGCAGAGAGTTCCACTGCTGAACGGCTCTCACAGTCAGGAAGTTCTTCCTCATGTTCAGATGGAATCTCCTCTCTTGTAGTTTGAAGCCATTGTTCTGCGTCCTAGTCTCCAAGGAAGCAGAAAACAAGCTTGCTCCCTCCTCCCCATGGATCCTCTCACATATTTATATTGAAATACATTGAACTTCTCGGGTTGCAAGAAAAGGAGGGAATATGAAATGGTTTGCAACCCACTTCTTTAGATGCAAAGAGGAGAAGAGGCATTAAATCCGCCCCACTCCATCCTTGGCCGCCTTCCTCTTCTCGTCACATTCTTGCAAGAGACATTCACAGGGTCCATTCAGACACCGACCGTAACCCGTCTGGATGCTTGTCTTCACAGTTTTATCAGGACATGACATCACTCATTTATCGCCATGGGAAATTTGGACAAACATTTGCGCTGCAGTTTGCCGGGAGGAAGTTGCATTCCTTCTCAGCAACCCACTCGCAAAAAAGGTCAATTTTTCCTCCTGTTGTCCTTTACGAAGGATGCAATGCACCCAGAGAGATTTATATCCTAAAATAAAAGAGAGCCAAGGGATGCAAGAATGAGAAAGTGGGTGGAAGGGAATGGAGAGAGACGAGGGTGAAATATGGTTCTGGTTTCAGCTGATGTGGAAAAAAAATGTTCATGGCGGCTCTATGTTTGTGGTTTCGCTGAACTTATGACTCTCTGACCCTTTGACCATTTCCTCCCTTGAATCTTGCAAAAGATTCCTGCAGAGGCCCAAAATGTCAAAGGAAAAAAAACACTGAGAGTGGAGATGGGAAGGAAGGGGTGGTGAATCTGCTCTGGGTTTCAGTCCGAACTTTGAAGGAGCTTTTTAAAGGGCCAGGAGAACAATTTTGAAATGACATATCAAAAGTCACACAGCACTTGGGAACAAAATTCCCTTTCTGGAAATATGAGCAATTTCTGGTTACCTTTTCTTCCTCCTTCTCCCTTCCTCCTCTTTTTTTCTTACTTTTCATCTTCCTTCTCCTCCTTGTTCTCCTCCCCTCTTCCTCCATCTCCTCTTCTTATTCTTTCTCCTTCTTCCCTTTCTTCCTCCATCTCTTTTTCTTGTGTTTCCACCTTCCCTTTCCTCCATCATCTCCTTGCTTTCTTCTTCCACCTCTTCCTTTCTTTCTTCATCTTTGTGTTGGTCTTGATCTTCATATTCTTCCCCTTCACTTCTTGTTTCTTTCCTCCTCTTCTTCCTCATCTCCTCATCTTCGTTCTTTTTTCTTCATATTTTCTCCTTCTCAGCTTTACTCTCTTCCTCTCCTTTTCTTCTTCCTCTCTTCTTCCTATTCACCTTTTCTTTTTTTTCCCTCTTTTTTCTTGTGTTTTTCCCTCTCCTTCTTCCTCTCTTTCTTCCTCCAAATCCACAATAGGATCGAGTGCCACAATGAATGTTTGGTTCTATATGCAAAACACTTCAGCCTTGATCCCTATCTCTTCTCCTTGTCCATTCATTTTCCCTCATGCTCTTCCATCCATATCTTCTCCTCTTTGCCCAGATGACACTGTCTACATGGAGAGCGAAGA